TAATCAAATAAATAAAAATAAACTTCGGTAGCAGGATTGATATGGCTTATCAATCCTGTAACGTGCTGGGCATAAAATAAAAGAACACGCAGAGAATTATTTTACGTGGTAAAACCCCACCTCTAGGGAAAATCCACGGGACTCCTCAGTCCAACACAAATCCACTATAGAAAGATGATTACAAGAAGTACTCACACACTTATCCTAGACACATTCTAGATAATGTTTACCGACTTCTTCGTAACTCAACTTCTGTCACGGGATGATCTTTGATACTCCTTATGTTGAACGCAATACTGGCCACGATTGCTTCAAGCTCACCAGAGGAAAACCGCCACCACGGTCTTGGTGCCCTCAACCGTATGAGTCACCGATCAATGCAAATGAATGCAATATGAATGATTAAAGTGTTTGATAAATCACCAAGTAAACATGGAACACTTGATGATTTATCTCAAATATATGCACAGCAGCTTTCTTAGAATTTTAGATGCTCAAACCAACTATATGAAAACTCTCCAAAACTAAAGAGATGCACACAAAGATTTATACAAAACTTATTCTCCACAATCCACGTGAAGGCCCACAATCACAACACAATATCTTGCCATGCATTCAATCTGATAGTCTTAGAATCCTATATGATTTCGTCATATTCTCCATTGCACTACAATCAATTGTTTATCCAATTAAACAATATATATCAAGATGTAAACACGAAACCAAATAGGATATTAATTAAAACATCCTTTCCAAGTCCAAGATAATGAAAACATAATATTTTGATCTAAATCAAAATAGAGTCCAACTAGGAAAGTAATCTCAAGAGATAAAATATAATCCTATTAAAAATAGAATTAGCATAAAAATACTTGAGTGAAAATAATTCCAACTAGGAATCCTATAATGAATGCATGATTTACCTGTTGTCAAGTTTCTCATATGATCAGGTCATGCCTCGGAAGTGTGGGGTTGAAAGAGTAGTGACAAAGCGTTCATCAACAATTCCTCACAAACTAATTTTCACCCTATACTAAAGTCTAGGAAATGCCAATACGAATTTCGTACTAACAATAATTAGAGCTGACAATGACTTGTGTCGGGCAACAATAATGTTTATGAGTCATGACTGCTAGGCTAGGCCTCTGTTTTTGTAGTTTTGCTTTCTTTTTTTTTCCTTAATATGTGATTTTATTCAGCCCGCAAATTTCTTAATTAAGATTTTGCCTTTATGTCTTGGTCTTGATTGTCACGTTTGAGTTGTAGATTGACTATTCTAATTGTCCATTGTACACATTTTATGATATTTTAATAAAATATGTTTTTCAAAAAAATAAAGCCATGTGTTTCAGGCAAATGATTAAAATAATAACTTGGTAAATTGGCTGTTTTTGGTAACTAAATTATTTAGCTTCGTTTCTTTAATATTTTTTATGGAGCAAACGATATTCCATTAAAACTCAATCGAAAACTTACAAGAGCCGGCATGTAAATGAGTGGCCTTATTAAAACCCTCCCAAGGAAAATCCAGTGGGACAAAACCCCAATGTAAAAAAGAGTACAATCCATGAGCCACGGTCACGGAGGCACAATTCCATCTAGAAGGAAAGAACCCCTGTCACGGAGACTGAACTGTGCAATCTGGTGAGCCGTCTTATTTGCTTGGGGTCTTGAAGCCAGCAACGTACGAATCTCATCCACCAAGCCACCTTCCACCTTCCACGGCTAGACATTCACCATTTGGACTGCATTTAGGCAATCAATGTCTACCGCTAAAGGTACCCGATAAGCATCTAACGCAAAGGTGGCGAAGAAGGCCTGCTATGACGTAATGCTAACTCTGCTTTAAGTTCCTCATCGTAGTTCTTGATAACCATGGCGAAAAGGAATCTAGGGTTTGAGCTTGGACAGAGAAAGTAGAAGAGAGAGGGGAAGAAAAGATCTCTGTATATTTCTGTTATCACAAATCTGTTACCAATCCCAACTTAGCTTAAGCTGAGCCTAAGCTCGTCTTTATATAACTAACAGACTTTCTTCTGTTCTAAGTATCCTAACTAACTAACATTCACATGTTATATCACGTGACGCCAGCTCGTTCAGCACACCCAGCACTCCTCAGCTATAATACTGTTAACAGTTCTTTGCACAGGCAATCAAATCCATGGTGGCACCGGATCAGATCCATAGAGAAACCTGCATGGTGATTTATCAAATCCTTTCTTCATTCATATTGCATTCATATGCATGTCGGTGACTCATACGGTTGAAGGCACCAAGATCGTGGTGGCGGTTTTCCTCCGACGAGCTTAAAGCAATCGTGACCAGTATTGCGTTCAACAAAATGAGTGTCGAAGATCATCCCGTGACAGAAGTTGAGTTACGAAGAAGTCGGTAAACATTATCTAGAATGTGTCTAAGATAAATGTGTGGGTATTTCTTGTAATCATCATTCTATAGTGAATTTGTGTTGGACTGAGGAGTCCCGTGGATTTTCTCCAGAGGTGGGGTTTTACCACTTAAAATAATTCTCTGCGTGTTCTTTGATTTTATGCCCAGCACGTTTCAGGATTAATAAGATCAATCCTGCTACTGAAGTTTAATTTTTGTTTATCATGTCACAACACCCAGCCGTAATAGCAAAAAGGGATAACTTTTCCACATAAAGAATATCCCACGCCGCAGACACCCAACTCAATGCATCCGGAAGTCTGAGGTGAAGGAATTGCGTAGGAAAACCTAATCCCTCCCAGACTTCTCGACAGATGCCACACTCAAAAAACTCGTGGACAGAAGTTTCCGGTATTGATCTGCAACGAAAACAAACTTCCTCAGCAAATAATATGACGATAAATCATATAATTACTCATGTACAAGGTACTAATCCATGATGACTAGGCCTCTTATAACTTCATGAAAACAACACAATTACTAGATTTTCTCATTCTCCTCTCTCTCCTTACTGGAACAAGAAACCAGTTGGGCCTCTACCTATTTAAAACCATTCTCATGTGATATGAGGCCCATTACTAATATCAAACTCGATACTGGGCCACTGTAAATTATTACACTTCAACTGCGAATGGCATGGTAGCTGTCCCGCGTTCTATTTATGAGCATCTTCACAAAACTTCAAAATTATGATGCACCAAAGCAAGAAGGATAGGGCCTTACCCATCCCCTATATTTTTATGTGCTACAATTACGTTTATTTGTTTTAAGAGATCAATGCCACCCGTCACCTTTTTGGTGGTGGTGGTGGTGGTATGGGTTAAGAAGTTAGAACCACAAGTAGTACACGAAATAATTGAAAGTTGCTACGACATGGAGGGATAGATTTATGGTGTAAAGGAAAAAGTGTCCAAGAGGCAAACAAAATGGGTAGAGAAATTATAGGCACTACAAGAGGACATGAAATAAATACACATGGGGAGGGGACAACGCCCACATGTGAGAAACATGGGTAGATTATCCTTTGTGTTGCTTCCCCTGCTCAATTCAAAGAAATCTCTATGTTTGCATCCATGTTAGCACTCTCTATCTTATCCTCATCGTCAAATCATTCTTCATACACTTCCAATCAATTATTATTTTCATATGGGCCATTTAATTCTCTGGCAGTGGCACCCCTTTGCTTTTGCCAAATGCACCCTTCAAAAAAAGTGTAATATTGGATAAATAGCTAAACATTAGGTTGGATAACATGGTCAGTTCACAAGCTGTGTTATTTGTATGGAAAAAGTGCCAAACCATTGACCCACTGCATGTTTTTTTCCCTTATCCTACACGAGCCATGTCTCTACTCTGTTTTCCTTTTTTTTTCTTTAAAAAAAATTGCCGAAAAGAAGGAAACATAATGTTTTATAACGAAGACGAAATTGTCTTAAAAATTAAAATAAACAGGTTATGATTTTTTTTTATATTTTTTTTTTTGGGAAAAAGGAATTCAAATTTAGGAGGACTCTTTCAATATTGGAACAAAAAATACTACTATAGCGCTAAGATTCAAAAAAATATCTTCTGGTGAGTTGGAGTTCGTTCTACATTTGAGTGTTAGAAATCGTAGATAAAATACAATCGTCTCACATCGGGACGGGACGTAAAAATACTAGATTGGAAGGTTTTCTAAAGTAAAACCTAGTGCACAGTTTACTGGGTACGATGAGCTTGGCCTCATCACCTGTCAAGTTCTTCAAATGGTTTAAGTTTGGGCAATATATGTGGCTGAAAGACATGGTCCCCAATAGCCCTGGTGGGGGAAGGGGGTACCCTAGGAATCTAGGGTGCTCAAACTGCAGCTGCCATTCAAAGTCAATATTCATGTGATACTTCATTTCCAACTTCCAAGAAAGGAACTATCATATATCTGTCAAGAGGAAAACATATGAGAAGTTGAAGTCACAGCCATAATGGGTATGTATGGGTTTTTTGCTTTTTGTCAATGGCATGGTACGTCAGGTGGAGCAGCTCCACGATCCAACCTGACCTCCTTAACTACTCTAAGAAATGAAATTGTGAAGAGCTCCAGATAAAAATCGTGCATCTTCTCCACGGTTACTTTCCTTTGATTTAAATGGTTGTTGAACTTCTTATTCATATGATCTTAACCACTCAACAACCCCATTGGATTAACATAATCTCTATATTTGTTTGTTATATTCTTATGCGAATAATTAATTTGGCGAGTCCTAACAATAATGATGACTTAGCTTGGGTGATTGTTGTTGAATGAGACAAAAAGTACGCATTTTATCAATATCAAATTCACAAAGAGGGAAAATTATTAGAATGTGAGTATTCAATCCATTGATCTCAATTAGCTAGTTCCATCTTGGTACTCCAAATTGAAGCAAATAATTAATTTAACAAATCAGTGTATCACTCTTGCGTCCATAAATTTTCTGATGTAGAACATATATATATATGGTCGAGATGATCAAGGAGCAATTTGATTAGCGTAACATCAGAAAATTATTCGGCCTTTTAATTAGTATTAAGAATAATTTTGGAATTTTGATTCCAATTAGTATTCCTAGTAGTACTAGGGTTTGATTGAGGTAGTATTTAAACGAACTTTAACTAAGAGATTAGAGGGTTGTTATTCCAAGTACAATTATCAATAAATCATGAGATTTCTCTCAAATTTCTGGTGAATTCCAGATTTTCTGGTTCTAAAGCTATCGTTAGATCACCAACCCATTATTACTTCCCTCATTTCTTTTTGGCAAAGAAGCAAGAAATAACAAAATTGGCAGAGACAGCGAGCTAGCACCTACTCCCACTTTAGAAATGACATAATTTAGGTAAACTTCTGTTGGTAGTGCAGATTTATTGGTTATAACCACCCAATAATTGTTTATAAAAAGTATAATTAGAGTCGTTAAGCAATGACAATTACAACTTGAGAAATAATTTTGGGTTCAAGTAACCTGCAGCATATATACTAACAAATGCTTGCACATCTCATATATAATAGGTCAAATAATGCCATGATCCTTACATTTAAACTACCACATACACTTTTTTTAAATGCATGTTTTCATCACCGCCTTGCATTTTGAGTTGTTTATAATGAAGCATACGTTTTCATGTACTTCTGACTAAAAATTTCTTAGAGATATATCAAGACATTGAGATAACGCCAATTAAATAAAATGACTCTGACTCTGACGTAATCTATCTACAATATTATTTTTTTAATATCATTTTTTAATGTGCAAAATGATGAGGAGATCATATGGCAAACTGGCATGTGAGCTAGAGAATGTGCCAAAATGTTGACCCAAAAATTTAATGAAAATTGTAAGTGGGTCATAACTATGGATGGTCGTGTTTTACCAACCAAGACCATGAATTATTAAATAGTAATGCATAGCTTGATGTATAATGTCTCACGTCAGAAATTTAACAAAATAAATATGATATATAATGAGTGATTTTATTATGATAAAACTTCACAGTTACTGGTATTTATAAATAAGTGAGTTAAATACAATGTCGATATTATTAATAAGTGATTAAATTGAAGACCATATTACCAAGAAAGAACATTAACAAATAAAAGTTCTCCCCTTTATATTAGAATACAGACAACAACACGCAAGCCGTGATGCCTAGACAAACCCTATTATCACTAGGACACCTTCTCTTTTTCCCAAACTAGTTCCTATGTGTCTCACCCTAAACCCTAAATATTTTAGTACACGTTGTTGAGCTGCAAATCTCACACTATATATTGTTATTATATAAGTTTCCATCCAAAAGCCTATTAATCATTCAATGTGTGTTAATAATAGAATTAAATTTGCTATGGCTCTACATTTTTTATGACATATTATTAGGATTACACAATTAATTGTTTAAATCATGCGTATGTATATACATACATATAAAACTACATAAAAAATAATGTATTATTTATCGTGTTACATCACATTCCCTCGAAATTCTAATGTTGTTTTTGGTCTAAAATGAATTTTTTGTTGTTGAGGAAATTAACAAATAAATAAATAGTCTTTGGATTCCTCTTTACCCTGCAGCCTGCAAAATAAAATTGTGGTTGGCTTGACGTGCATGACTAAAGAATATTTGACTCAACTACATGACCGCCAGTGTGGACGGCTGCCAAATTATTGTATAGCAGCTAGCTATAGCCGGTCATGTATCATTTCAAGTATATATATGTATGTATATATCTATAGTCATGAAATGGAGTTAATCATATGTACTTAGGTATTCAACTCTATGGTCTTTGTATTCACATAAATCGAATTTGAGACCTTTCACAAATTAAGTGGAGTATACACGTGACAGTTTAACTGAATATGAAGTAACTAATATTGTTATTAGAGGCAACTCACACTAAACCGAAGACTTTCTTTTTCAAGCATTTAATTACGCAAATCGTTATCGAATACATATTAATGCTTTCGAATTAACCGTCTCACCTCACACATATCAACTTCAACGAAATTATATAAGTGTGAGGCCACCATGTCACGTAGTCTTTAATTAAAAATTCTTTCTGTATCGAAACCAAACTGTTCGACAATTGACAAAAAAGATAGTCTTTCTTACACGCAAAGATTTGTGGCTCGTGCAATGCCATATTGCTTTTAGTTAATTACAGAAATAGAATATATATATTAAGTAGACTTGATGATGTAAGTTGAAGTATGGAGGAGAATAGTAGGTTTCTGGAGTGAGATGGACATCAGCCATCATTGAAACCTTGAAAGGGAGAGAGCTTGAAATATAGGGTATGAGAAAAAGACATCCCATAAAAAGCCATTGGCCAAACAGAGACAAAAGGCACAGCTGGAGCCTGTAAAGGAGGCTTGTGGGGTTTATTTTTCTTTCTGCAATTTTGTTTGTGACACAACTTCCAATCATCCAAATTATGCAGTGGTGTCCATGTCATGGCTTCAGGCTTCAGTTTGGTACTTTTCCACTTTGGTTGATTAAATCAGCAATCACCCAATAATAATTGTTGTTCCTTATTCAATAATAAATAAGAGCAAAGTTGATCACTTTACCAACAAGAAAACATCATTGTACGTTTGAATCATCTTCACTTTCTTTCATAAAAATTATTGGGTCTTGAACCATATGTAAGATCTTCATCTTCTTCCATGGGCATGTCCCTTTCAGAATCCCACTCATTTTACCATCTTCATTCACCCAATTATGATGAATGAGTATGTCTTTGAGTAGTGGTTAAGATTATACATACATACAATTATGGCTTGCGAAATGCATGTAATCACTAGAAGGTAAGAAGCATGAGATGGACACCGCCGTTGACGACTCCTTATTTAATTAGGATTTTAGTTACTTACCAGTTTATTTAGTTTTACTGACACAAAATAGTCTTTCGAATGTGCAACAGTAGCTAGACATGAAATTTTTTAATTTTTTATTTGGACGTTCCACTTCCACGCTCAATGGATCTTAGCTTAGGGTTTTACATTAGTTTTGTCTCTGTTTCTGTAATCTTTGTGCATCATTTCATTGTGTTTTATTTCATTGTCTCATTTGCTATTCCCTAGTCCCCACAACCCACATTGTTTTTGGGCATTTTGGCGTAAGTGCAAAGTAATAATAGTTCTTGTATTTATTTATTGTTACAAAAGTAATTTTTCATTTTGTTTTTTTATGAAGATGCACTGAAGAAAGAACCCATTTACAAAACAGAGGAATTAATTAACACCATTATCCATTGCTTGGTCCCAAATCCAACTACGATGGCATCTATCTACCTGGGACTAAGCAATTTCATGGGCCCCACCATAGCTCAAAAAAAAAATAGAAGCTAATGTGGCAGGGAATTGAGGAGTCACTGTCCGACACGTGGAAGGTGATGCCAGCATGGAAAAGTACTGTTTTTCCCAGCTGGCATTTTGAGATTATTGAGGAAAAATGTTTTTTGCCCTTACTTTTTGGGAGTTGGGTGGGTTTGTGTAGAAGAATGTGTAGGTCTCTCGATCCCTATTGGTCTAGTTTTAGGA